TGGGATGGGATGAAATTCCCAGAGGAGCCCCAGGATTCCTAGGAATGCCCAAATCCAGGCTGGGATGGAATTCCTGGATCCCTGGAAATGTCCAAAGCCAGGCTGGGATGAAATTCCCTGTTTTTTCCCCCGGATCCATTCCTGTTCTGATTTTTGGTTTGGGGCTTTTCCCCCTGATCCATTCCTGTTCTGATTCCTGATTTTCCTTCCTGATCCATTGCTCTTCTCCTGATTCCTGACTTTCCCCCAATCTATTCCTGTTCTGATTCCTGGTTTGGGGCTTTTCCTCTGATCCATTGCTGTTCTGATTCCTGGTTTTTTCCCCCAATCCATTGCTGTTCTGATTCCTGGTTTGGGGCTTTTCCTTCGATCCATTGCTGTTTTGATTCCTGACTTTTCCCCACTGATCCATTACTCTTCTGATTCCTGCCTTTCCCCCCAATCCATTCCTGTTCTGATTCCTGTTTTTTTCCCCAATCCATTGCTTTTCTCCTGATTTCTGACTTTCCCCCTGATCCATTGCTGTTCTGATTTTTGGTTTGGGGCTTTTCCCCTGATCCATCACTGTTCTGATTCCTGTTTTTTCCCCCAATCCATTCCTGTTCTGATTCCTGGTTTTTCCCCCAATCCATTGCTCTTCTCCTGATTCCTGACTTTTCCCCTGGTCCACTGCTGTTCTGATTTTTGGTTTGGGGCTTTCCCCCCTGATCCATTGTGGTTTTGATTCCTGACTTTTCCCCCAGTCCATTGCTGTTCTGATTCCTGCTTTGGGGCTTTTCCTTCAATCCATTGCTGTTCTGATTCCTGGTTTTTTCCCCCAATCCATCGCTGTTCTGATTCCTAGTTTGGGGCTTTTCCCCCTGATCCATTGCTGTTCTGATTGTGTTTTCCCCCTGATCCACTGCTCTCCTCCCAATTTCTCCATGACATCCCACATCCATTTCCATCACTCCCCACCATCCTCCACCTCCACAAACACCCCCATTCCCCCCACCCTCCACCTCCCCAAATCCCCCCTATTTTTTTAACCAATCCCCATTTTTTTTAACCAATCTTTCCCCTCTCAGGGATGGC